CATGTGCACCATACCAGGCTTTGGCCCATCCAAAAACCACTCTGAATCCTGGAACAAGCGAGGTTCCACGTTCTCTTAAGTTCTCATGCTTTTTGTTCCTTTGGCCTATAATGATCCTTCCCCCCTTTTCACTAACTCCTAATCTTCTTCAACACCTGGCTCAAACTTTACAGGAAGTCAGCCTTGATGAAAGTCCCTCATGCTGACTTTACCCCTCCTGAATGCTCCCACAGCACCCTGTGCATTCCATTCTCCTAGTGCTGGCCACCCTGCATTATAATTGTGTTTTTCCCAAAGACTGAAAATTCCTTGAGGGAAAAGATTGCTTCTTTTATGTCTGCCTGACATGCAGTAGATGCTAATGAATGAAGAATTGTTGTGAGGAGATATTACATAGGATGTGCTTAGCACGTAAGAGGCATTCAGTAATACCTTCCTTCCTACAAAAGCTATCTATCAGTATCCTGAGATTTCTACCTGAAGTAGTTCTTACAGACAATACAAAAGAGGAAACTAAGGAGCCACAAATATTTTTAAGTTTAAAAAAGGATTTATGACACAACACATCAACCAAAGTTTAACACCATCAATAATCAGACAAAATGACATCACTTTGTTACGTGATTCACTGAAAAGGACACAGCATTGCTTCTGTAGCATTCTCACCAAAAAGCATAACTGGAATCTGATCTCAAAGATATACCACAGAAATCTAAATGGAAGGATATTCTACAATATAAATGGCCTGCATTCTTAAAAAATGTCAAGTGTTATGATAGACCAAAACAAAGGCTGAGAAACCATTATAGATTAATGAACGCTAAAGAGACATGAAAACTAAATGCAATGTGTGATCTGGATTGGATCTTGGACCAGGTTAATAAAATGCTATAAATGATACTACTGAGAAAATTGGCAAAATTTTAATGTGAACCATATATAAAGTAATAACAATGTATTATTGTGCTGAAGTATTTAGGAGTAAAGGGGCATGACTTCTGCAACTCTCAAATGGTTCACAACAATTATGAATGTAAGAATGTGTGTCTATAAATACATAAGTATGCACATATAGGCATATATAAGAGACAGACTAGAAATGATAAGACAAATGTGGCAAAATGTTAACAATTTGTGAATCTGGGTAAAAGATATATCACTTTTGCAATCTTTAAAGAAAAAAGGTTCCATTCATGTTAAATGATTTGCTAAAGCAGCACACAGGAAAAACTGATACAATCAATAGAAAATGCTATACTTCACTTAGTCTGTTGTGCTGCTATAACAAAATACCACAGACTAGGTAATTCATGAATAATAGAAATTTATTTCTCACAGTTCTGAAGGCTGAGAAGTCCAAGATCAAGGCTCCAGCAGGTTTGATGTTTGGTGAGGGCTGCTCTCTCTGCTTCCAAGATGGCACCTTGATGCTGTATCCTCACAAGCCAAAATAGTGGAAGAACAGAGCTCTCCCTTCGATCTTGAACCCTTTTATAAGAGTGCTTATCCCATTCACGAGGGCTGCCCTCATGATTTAATTACCTCCCCAAAGCCACAGCTCTTAATACTGCTGCACTGGCGAATAAATTTCAACATGAATTTTGGAAGGGACACCACCAATCAAACCAAAATGTTCACTGCTGTGATGATTTCTTGAGTTTTGTTCCCATGCTTATAGACTATACCATTTTACTCTGTTTGGTATATAATTTAACAAAACTAAATTTCACCTGTTAGTATAAGATACCAGTAAGTACCTGCTACTAAAAGTAAAATTTTAAAAGTATAATGGAGCTGATTAATGGCTACTGAGCCACAAAGAAATGCTTGCTTTAAATGATGTTCCTTTATTTGAGAGCATCCAAAATCATTATAGGAAATCACCTTTTGACATGGTAGTGAAGACTGTATTAGGCTGTAGCAAAGTAACACACATTACTTTCCCTGAAGTAACAAGAAAAAAAAAACCTTATTTTCTACAAAGGAAAAATATATGTGTATGTTAGAATTAGTTGAATATTTTAGAGGAATAGTTCTTTCTTTTGCTAAACTTCTGTGTTGAATCAAAGTTCTTTAGAGCAATGTACAACTTCACTGAGATGCTAGCAATGTTGCCAACATACACATGGTTTTACAAGGTACTTCAAAAAAGTTTGTGGAAAAATAGAGTGAAAGATAATATGAATCTTTCCATAAACTTTTTGAAGTACCCTTGTATTGTAGGTGTAAGACAGGATTTCTTAACCTCAGCACTATTAACATTTTGGGCCAGATAGACATTTGTTGTGGGTCCTGTGTATTGTACCATGTATAGCAGCAATCTTAACCTCTGCCCACTAGGTGCCAGTAGCAGTTCCTTCCAATGGGACAACCAAAAATGTTTCCAGACATTGCCAAATGTCCCTCTGGGAAGAAAATCATTCCCAGTTGAGGATCACCAGCCTAAGATGGTATAATTTAGATAAAATTTTTCCATACAATGAGAATTAATTTTAGGTGATAAAATTAAGTATTGCATTGTCTCCATAGACCCTGCAGGATAAAATCTAAAATGTTTAGACTGATGCATTGTAACTGAGGCCTTCTATCCCTTTCCAAAGCAAGGCCACTCTACTTAGTGCATTCTTGACTTCTGAAACACACAATGTGCATCCCTTCCTGCACCAGAAGTGAACCAGATAGTCTCCCTGCTGTCACATCCCCGTCTTTGAGGTTTTGTAGTTATGCAGGACACTCCTTCTTATACTTTGTGACTTCTTATACTTTGTGACTGGAATGAGGGTGCATACTTGATAAAGATGAACCTAATCCAGAAGCTAGACATGGCTAATCAGATCTTTCTCCTTAGGGCTGGGCATTTTTGTGCAACTATGTTTGGGCGAGAAGCAAGCGAAGCAAAGAAATTTAGCTTAAAATGAGAAAAAGCAGATATGCAGCCCATAAAAAGGGAAGAAGGCTGGATGGGCCAGCTCATGGGTATGTCCTATATGAAGTCTATTTAAAAATTACTCCAAATTTCTCCTTCCTCTGAAGTTCCTTAATTAGTATCATGATTGTGAGCAAGTCACTTTTTCCCTCAAAATCTCAGTGTACTCATCTGGAAAATGAGGATTATGGGCAAAAAAACAGCTAGTATTATTTAGCTCAAATATATGGTTATGATATTAATCATTGGTACTGTCTTCTGACATTGTTTTATGTAGTAATTTAACTGTTGAATTATTACTTGACTTTTCATAAGCACATCTTCCCAATTAGTGTAGATGCTCCTAAGGGCAGGACCAGAATACTATATTCACTTATCTTAGGGAGGAGTGAGCACAAACTGCAGGTGGTGAATCCCTGGGAATCACTGGGTTATAAGAAGAGGTATGAGTGCTGTTTGTAGATTCACTGGATAAATACAGCCCTTAAAACCTGTCATCATAGATCCCAGGATTCAGTATCTCATTTCTCGTATTCTTATGTTCAAAAGGCTAAATCATATAGGTATCTAAAAATCCTCATGAAGTATGCACAGTCTTGCAGAAGAACTATTGATGCACGAGAAAGAAATGTCTGAATCAAACATGTGGAATTACGATGAATAGAGGGGTTTTAGTAAAATGGTGTGATGGTTAATCTTATGTGTCAACTTGACTGGACCATGGGGTGCCCAGACATTTGGTCAAATATTATTCTGAGTGTGTCTGCAAGGCTGTATCTGAATGACATTAACATTTGAATTGGTAGACTGAGTATAACAGTTTGCCCTCCCTAATGCAGGTGGGCCTCATCCATTTAACTGAAGAACTGAACAGAGTAGAAAGGATAAGTAAAAGAGAACTTCTTCTGCCTGACTGCCTTGAGCTGGGACATTCGTCTTTTCCTGCCTTCAAACTTGTAATGAAACATTCATTCCTCTTGGATTTCAAGCCTGCTGGCTTTCAGATTGGAACTTATACCTTTGGAGTTCTTGGTTCTCAGACCTTCAGACTCAGTCTGGAACTACCCCATCAGTTCTCCTTGAGCTTGACAACTGTAGATCTTGGGGACGTCTCAGTCTCCATAACCACATAAGCCAATTCTTTTAATAAGTCTTTTTCAATTATATCCTTTCGGTTCTGTTTATGGCCATAAAGCTATATCTCACACAAGTGGCTCATTTTCCCACTGATACTCATTATCAAATTGTTCTAATAAAGGGTAGAGAATTTCCATTCATTGGTTTGATAAAATAATTTAACACTTCAAATCTTAAGATTTGATAAAGCAAAAAAATTAAATTTAATTAAACTGAATGCCATAATTAAAGATCTTCAGGGAAGATTTCTTCCTTGATTTATCAATTTTGAACAATGAAAATTTCATATATCTGGTTGCCATAGATTAGATGATGTTATTATACTTAATAATTATATAATAATAATAAAGCTTTATCATCATCATTATTATTTTTTTGGTGGCTGGCTGGTGCAGGAATCTGAACCTTTTTTTTTTGACCGGTAAGTGGATTGCAACCCTCGGCACGGTGTGGTCTGCACCACGCTCAGCCAGTCAGCGGTGCACCCGCCGTCCCTATATAGGATCTGAACCCGCGGCCTCGGTACTACCAGCACTGTACTCTCCTGAGTGAGCCACGGGGTCGGTCCAGGAATCTGAACCTTTAACCTTGGTGTTACTAGGCAGTGCTCTAACCAATAAAACTTTAGACAAATGAAATGTTCTGTTTATATTTAACAAGCACAGAAACAATCAGTATCTCTATTTCATGGAGGTATCTGTGACAACAACTCAAATGTTCTGTTCTAAGGTTTTCTGTTTTGCAGAGAGATTAAACTAAGAATGTGTGAAAGAGTTAAAAGAAGCACTGCAATTCTTACCAATGGCTAAGATTATAATACATTAAAATTTTTCCAGAAATATTTTTGCCTTAAGATTTTCGTGTATAAACACTGATATACTATGAATGAAAGGCAGCCTCATTTCAAAGCATTTCTAGTTGGCATCAAGTTACTGACCTGCTTGATATTCCTGGATATAGGACCTGGAATAATACAATCATCACTGTCAGAAGCTGATCTGCCCTCTTCATCTGTTAAAAAATAAAAGGGTAACATTACACAAATTAAACCAACTGTATTTATACCTTGTGAAATAGAGAAAAACAAGCATACATCATAGGATAACCTTAAAAGAACAATATAATAATCATGTCTAGACCTTTTTTAGCAGCAAATACGTTTATATATACATTACACTTTAGAAACAAAAATGACTGAAAATTCCAGTTTTAATTTTGGTAGAAACAAAGGAAATACAAATAAAAGTACGGCTTGTTATAGTTTGAAATTAAAGGAAAACAAAATTTTAAGAGAAGCATAGGGTAATAGATGTTTCCTAATAGCCTAACCAATAATATTGTGTAAAAGTCAATGTTATTCTTAGTATTTAAAAGTTTTAAACTTCTAAAGCTTTATTGAAGTAAAATTGACATACAATAAACTACACACACTTAAAACTGCTAAATTTGTATTTTGACATATTCATAATTCTGTAAAACCATCATCACATGATAGTAAATATATCCATCACCCCCAAAAGTTTCCTCAGGTCCCTTTGTAATCTCTGTCCTTCTACCCCTCCCTGTTCCCATTTATCCTTCCCCAGGCCCACTTACTTGTTTTCTTTCACTGTAAATTAGTTTGCTTTACTAGATTTTTATATAAATGAAACCATACAGTAAGTTGTCTTTTTTTGGTCTGGATTCTTGGCTTAATTTTTAAAAATTCAAGACCTCTAGATGAATCCAGATGATAATACTGGACTCAGAGAGAATATAAAACTGTTTAAAACATAAATCGGGAACTCGGTCAGTGGTAGCACTTGTATTATATTGTGGAGCTCCAAGTTGGAATAAGAAGAGATGCACAATCTCACATAATCATAGCTCAGCGGACTGAACTATATCCCATCATTTCTGTCAAGAAATAAGTATATAATACATACTCTTAACAGACAAAACAAAGCAAAGAGTTAAGTAAATATTAGTTTAAAAAAGAAAGTCACCTTCTGGTTCAAATTCCTCTGTTATTTCTGTTTCATCTTCAGAAGAAGCCAAGCTTTGTTCTGCAAGCTGACCCTCGGATAGTGAAGACACATCATTCTCCTTTCCTTGCTGCACTTTCTCAGTATTCTCTTTTACCTTATCTGCACCGATTCCTTGTGAAACCTGAAGAAAGGAAAGCACATCGATACATTTATTACTTCTTAGAGCACACTTAGTAACATTCTTGCTAAAGCACTTCAATAATAAACCATGTATATTTGAGACTTAATTATATAGATATGCTATATATATGACTCATTAGAAAACAAATTTATACAAATGAAAATATGCAGATAAATAAAAATCTGAATATACACTAAGAATGAAAAATGGATTAATCTTAAAATGACTTTTACATTAAGACTTTAATTCACATATCTATATAATACCTGCCAATATCAGTATAATTGTAGTCATTAGATTTCTCATATTTTTGACCTTTCTATTCCAATGAAGTCATATACAAAAAATAGAATAAATGCTATGATTTCCTGACCCATGTTAATCACAAGACAAGGTCTTTAAGAACCAAATTAAACCATCCAAAATAATTTTAATACAAATGCATACCTCAGGAATATGTGAAACAGATGGCGTATTAATTTCTATTTTTGGTGTATGCTCCACTTCTGATGAAATTTCCTTCATATCTTCAGTAGTAGAACTCTCCTTATATTAATGTGAAAACATGGATGTATATTATATTGTATTTATTACTAAATCCTAAGTGATTCTAAGATTTTTACATATATAGGTGCACTAATAAAAACTGGCTGCAAATGTAATAGTTACTCATACAACACAGAATTTAGTTAGTATATTTCTATAAAATGGTTTACAGTCTTTAAAGTATATATAGATACAATTTGAGAATTGCAAGTGTAGTTCATTGAAACATTGTGTATAATAGCAAAAAAGCTGAAAACAATGCAAATGTCCAACAGGGCATTAGTTAAATAAAATATGGTTCACCTAAATACCCGAGTTCTGTGTAACCATGAAAAAAAATGATGTAGATCTGTACTTACTGACATTATAGAGTATATAATATAGTGTTTAGTAAAAAAGCTAAATACAGAACAATATTTATAGTTGTATCATGTTTTGTTAAAAAACAAATACACAATCAAACACACGTATGTACATATTTCCATAGGGAGAAGTATGAAAGGAAATTCATGAAAACTGTCTCTGAGTTATAAATTTGGGGAAATTTAATTTAATTTTTACTGTTTTTTTTCTTATTTATATTTTCTAATATTTCTCTGATGATTATACATTACTCAATGTAACTTAAATTTTTACTATTTCAAAGCTAAATATGCCCAATATAGAAAATGTGAAAGATAAACAAGGAAATATAAAAGAAATTAATACAAATCCATATTCCTACCCAATGGTAATACCTATCAATCACTTGTTAGAGTTCTATTTATTTAAAATTTATTTCTGATGCAAATAAAAATTTTGAATACACAGTGGTAATTGTATTATAAACATAATATATACTGTTACATTTTAAAAAATTTAAAATTGTAACATAAATATTTTATCCTGATATGAAACTTCAAGAAAACATAATTTTAAATAACACAATATTACATTGATAGTTGTACCATGATTTAATGAACTTCTGCACTGTTGGACATTTCACTAGTTCACAATTTTTGAATATTATGACTAACATTACAACAAACACCTCTATGTATATATGTCCTTTTAATACTCATGGTTACTTACTTAGGGATCAGAGTACCTGTGTTTGAATTCCAGTTCTAACACTTTGAACAGAAACAAGTTACTTAACCTCTATAACTTATTTTCCCCATCTTTAAATGGGAATAATTCTAGTATAAACTATATAGGGTTGTTGTGAGGATTAAATGAGTCCAAGCATATAAAGCATTTAGTTTAGTGCCTGGCACATAATAAACACTCAGTAAATGCTAGCTATAAAACATCTCCTGAATTATAATTACTGAATTCATTTATTTATCACATATATATACACATTAAATGCTCTGTATATGCTAGGCATTATTATAAGAGCTGGGTAGACAGAATATTTTGATGTGGGTGGTTATTACACAGGTGTACACATATGTAAAAATCTATTGAGCTGTATGCTTAAGATATATGTACTTTACACTACATAAGTTAAATGTCAATTACAACGAAAATATATTTTTTTAAAAGTCCACATGAGAGATGATGGTGACTTGAGTGGTAACAGTGTAGATGATGTGAATACAGCTGGCTCTGCATGCAGATTCTATATCCACAGATTCAGCCATCTGTGGATCAAAATGTAGTTAGGCCTATGATGGTTGCATCTGTACTGAATATGTACAGACTTTTTCTTTTGTCATTATTCTCTAAACAATACAACAACTATTTACATAGCATTTACATTGTATTAGGTATTATAAGTAATTTAGGGATGATTTAAAGTATATGGGAGGCTGTCCACAGGTTATATGCAAATACAATGTCATTTATTAAAAGGAACTTAAACATCCATGAATTTTGGTATGGGAGTGTCCCGGAACCAATCTTCCCTTGATAAGGAGTGATGACTGTATTTTGAAAGTACAGCTCGGGCCGGCCCGGTGGCGCACTCAGTAGAGTGCGGCGCTTGGGAGTGTGGCGGCGCTCCCGCCGAGGGTTCGGATCCCATATAGAGTCCGGTCCGCTCACTGGTTGAGCGCGATGTGGGCACGACACCGAGGGTTGCGATCCCATTACCAGTCACGAAAAAAGACAAAAAGGGGAAAAAAAAAAAAAAAAAAAAGTACAGCGGACAGCTTTTGTGAATGAACTGGATGTAGGATGTGAGAAAATGAGAGGAGTCAAGGGGATGCCTCCAAAATTTCATGCCTGTGCAATGAAGTGAATGATTATGTCATTTACTGAGAATGGGAAACACTTTTCAGTGTTATAGAAAAAAATTTTGGAAGAGCACTGGTGTGATCAGGAGTTTGGTTTTTGCTATGATAAGTTTAAATTCTTATTAGACACCCATTGCATGTGAAATAAGCAGTAAAAATAAATACAGAATTCAGCAGTGAGGTTGAGGCTAGAGATTATAAATACGGGAGTGTCAACATATAGATGCCTCTTAAACTATGGGACTGGATAAGATCTCTTAGAGTGGATATAAATTGAGAAGAGGTCTGTGGATTGACTGCTGAGGAACTTGTACATTTAGAGATATGGTCCAGAAGAGTGAGAAGTATAACTGGTAAAGTTGAAGGAAGACTAGGGAGGTGTGGTATCTCAGAGGCCAAGAAAAGAGAGAGTGAGTGTCAAATGCTACTAGGACATTAAGATGGGCACTAAGAATCGACTACAGGATATGACAAAGAGTAAGTCACTGTGACCTTAGCAAGAGTAGTTTTAAGAAGGACAAAGACTTGATTGGAATGAGTTCAAGAAATGGTATGAAGAAAGGGAGACAGAATCTAGACAACTTTTTTGAAGACGTTCTTTTCTGTAAATGTAGTAGAGGATTGGGGCAGTAGCTGGAGAGAGGTATGGGGCCACGGGAGGGTTTAGATCAAAGAATATGGACAGTTAACACTTATACCTAGTGCCAAATTACAAAGCTACCATTTTAAAGAGAAAAGATGTACTTCACTTGTTTCCACTTAAATCAGGTAGGGTATAGTACACCTATATTTTTATTTCAAATTTTTGTTACAGAAAAAAGCAAAACAGTATTTTGAGTGTTTACTACTTACAGAACTCTGATGTGGTGGGATATCCACAAAAGACACCTTCTTATCTACAGGTGTTACACGTTTTCTTGGTTTAGGTGTTGGTGCCTAAAATAAACCAGTATGTCAGACTCAGTATGATGTTATTACATTTCAGATAAGGTTTCAGCTATTTTTTTTGGTTGAGTAGTTTTACTTTTTTTTTATATTTTGAATATGTTTTATATTAAAAGATTTATATTTGAAAGGAAATTCAAAGTCACTGTTACTCACTGCGACTAATGTGCTAACAGAGGATGTTGGAGGTAGTCTTTCGATAACTTCTGGCTCTTCTCTGAGAATGAGATTTCCTAAGTCTTCAGCTGTTATTGATCCACTCGGTGGGAGGTAAGTGAATTTCCATTTCAATATAACATGAATGGTGCCTGCAGGATGCTTTTGATGATCTGTTAACTCAAAAATTCCTGTCGAATTACAAAAATAATTTCAATTAATGCTAGAGTAAAGTTTTATTACCATAAGAATTAAAGAGGAACAAAAAACTGCCCCCAACTTTAAAAATAATTTTGGTTTTTAGTCACAACTCAAATGACTTAGAGAATAAAATAAAGACAAAAGGATCTATAAAAGGTTCATCTCTCAGGAAGACTTCTTTCAGAAGTTGAAGCCTTAATACTGATTCGTCAAAGATGTGAAAATGAATTTATAAATATTTTAATTCACTGAAATTAAATTCAGACATTATTCAGAATTCTTAGCCTTCCTCTAAGATATCTGGTTTATGGCTCAAGTATGAAACTTCAATTTGACTTGAATATTCTTGCAAGACTTGTGTGTAAAGAAAAACATATTAAAACTTTAAATGTCAAATAACTTATACATCTAAAGGAATCTTTATATTACTATATAATTCTATTATAATTTTAAATAAATTTTACTGGGATTTATTAAATTACTCCAACTTAACAGTAGTATAAACAAAAAATGTCCATAAAATAAACTATCCAAAACAAATAATGGTAACAAGAAGTACTACCTAGCTAAATCTGTAATACTGACTTACAAATTTTAATCATTGCACTAGATTTTGGGGTATGAAAAGTCTCTGACTAAAAAAACTCTATATTTCCCAGCCACCACTAGGCAAGCTGCCGCCACTGCCTCGGGGCCCTGCTGGGGCCCTGAGGCATGGAGCTGACGGAAGCCGAACCCAGCTACAACCAGGTAAAGAGCACACCAAAAACACCATTTCCACACAGGTAGCCCACCATAGCTGCCGCAATAGCCATGGCTGCCGCAAAAGTGGCTAGTCTCTACGGCAGCAGTCACAGCCATCGTGCAGATGGCATGCCAGACTCTCGACTGCATTGATACCAGGAGAGGTACCAGTGGAGACCAAAATAAAATGAGGTCCTCTCTCTCCACAAAGCATACTCCAGAGTAATAGAAGCATCATCTGATTTATGATAATAGAGGAGGACTTGATCACACCTGTCTCAGTATTGGACAGATCATCTAGCAACAGACCAACAGAGGAACAGTTAATCTATCAGATGGAGAGAACAAATCTATGGTTGTTGGGAGGAGGAGGAGGTGAATGGGGAGGGGTGGAGGGGAAGGGAGAGGGAGAGATTGGATAAAGGGCGTAAAGAGTAAGTATGATTTGTAACAATGAATATGCCAATAAAAATAAATTAAAAAGAAAAAGAACCCCTATATTTCAAGCACAACTTTTGTTTAGGGGTGTCCTGTACTTGGACCTCAAGTGTCGATACCTCTTTTAATGGCTGGAAAAAACCCAAAAAACCCCAAAACTCTAGCAGAACAAAAGGATATAGGTGGAATATAGGGAGGTGATAAATTTCTATTACAGGTACAGGAGGAACTTCCAGTTATGGCAGAATAAATCCTCTTCCTAAAAAACAATGATAAAACTGAACAAAATGATCAAAACAACTATTTAAGGACTCTGGAAAATGATCAAAGGTGTAGAACAAATTGAGAAGCATTTGCTCAAGAAAATCTACTAAACCTCAGTAAGAACAGGAGGAGTCTGTGGGACTATTCTCATCCTCCCCTTTTCCCCTAAGCTTCACGATGCAGAAGTTCTACCAGGGTGGGGTAGGCTATGAGAACCGGCAGCTTATGCAAAATTTATTTGTAATGGAGTATAGCTACTGTCATGCCCAGGGGCTTTGTTAAAAACAATAGCAATCTCAGTGGCAAACAATCAGGGAAGGCCAACACTGCAGTCAGCTTGAGGTCTTTATACTGGCTGGGGCAAACAAAAGACCAGAAGGCCAGCTAACAATTTAAAAGGAAGATTCAAGGAATAAGACAACCAAACTGGGCCTTGTTAAGATCCTATTTATGCCTCATGGTATGGAATATGGAAGGCTGTGGCATGCAGAAAGCTGTAGGCAATGCTCAGGAGAAACCAAGAGGACCCTAGTAAGCATTCCCCTGGTTGAACCAGAGGCCTAGTAAATGTAGAAAGTAAAAGCTGAGGCAGACATGTAGACTGATTGAACTTGAAACACATTTCCTAAGCCATAGACTGACCCATAGACAAACATATACAAGCACAACTTTGAACAATCAATCGCTGACCGTTAAGCTATGCTGACCCATGCTTAAAATCAAAACAAGAATAAAACAAATAAGTTAAGCACAGAAAGAGAAACACCACATGTTCTCAGTCATATGTGGGAGCTAAAAAACAAAAACCAAATAAATAAATAATAATAATAATGACTTAAACTGTTAAAGGGAGAGAAAAGAACTGTGGTTACTAGAGGCAGGAGATGGGAGGAGTTGGGGGATAGTGAGAGGCTGGTTAATGGACACAAAATTATAGCTACATATGAAAAATAAGTTCTATTGGAAAACAGTTGACCCAGTAATCTGTAATTAACAATGATTTACTGCATGTTATCAAAATGACTAGAAGAAAGGAGATCAAATGTTCATATCACAAAGAAATCATAAAGTTTTGCAATGATGAATATGCTATTTATCCTGATTAGATCATCACATTGTATACATATATTGAAATATAACTCTGTACCCCATAAATATATAGTCAATGTTTCAATTTCAAATTTAAAATAAAAAAATAAAAAGATAAAATAACACTGAAAAAGAATAAAGTAAACAAAGAAACAAAACATAGCAGAGACATCAGTGGCTATACACAGTGGAGGAAATAGGCTGTACAGAAATGGTCCAGGCAAGTCACCAAACAAACAAACAAAAACAGTAACAATTACCACCCTGGGAGGGTACTACAATATATTATCCAAAATGTCCAGTTTTCAACAAAATATTCATGAGACATAGGAAGAAGCAGGAAAGTGTGATACACCCACAGGAAAGAAAGCCATCAATAAACATTTTCTGAGGGCATCCAGAATGTTAGACTTAGCAGAAAAAGACCTCAAAGCAGCTAATATCAATAGTTTAAAAGAACTAAAAGAAATCATGTTTAGAGAAGTAAATGAAAGTATGACGACAATGACTTATCAAATAGAGAATATATATGAAAAAAAGAGCTAAATAGAAATTTTAGAGCAGAAAAGTACAACGACTGAAATGAAAAAATTAATAGAGGGGCTCAACAGGACATCTGAGCTGGCAGAAGAAAGAATTAGTGGACTTGAAGACTGATCAGTATAGATTATCCAATCTGAAGAATAAAAGGAAATATGAAGAAAAATGAACAGAACCTCAAAGAACTGTGAGACACCATTAAACATAATGAGAGTCCAAAAAGGAGGAGAATGGGGAAAAAAATAACTGAATAAATAATGGCAGAAAACCCCACATTTGGTGCATAACATTACACTACACTTACAGGAAGCTCAACAAATTCTAAGTAGGATAAACCTAAAGGGATCCACATCTAGACAAATCATCAGTCGAACTGTTGAAAGCCAAAAACAAATAGAAAATCTGAACAGCGCCAAATACAAGGGACCCTTGATAAGATTAACAGGTGACTTATTATCAGAAGTCAATGGTCTGATGGACTCAAAGTGGTGAAAGTAAAACAAACAGTTGACCAAAAATATTATATACAGTGAGACTATCCTTCAAAAAATAAAGGAAAATAAAGACATTCCCAAATAACAATGACTGAGAGAATTAACTGCCAGGAAGACCTGACTCACAAGATATATCACAGGAAATTCTTCAGGCTGAAAGGAAGAGACACTAGATAGTAACTCAAATCCACACAAAGGAATAGAGACCAATGAAGGTAATTAAATAAAGGTAACTGTAAAAGACAGCATAAATACATTTTTTCTCTCCTCCTTTTAATTGATTTAAAAGACAATTGCATAAAATAATAAATGTAAAATTATATCATTGGGCTTATAAGAAGATAAAATATATATGCCAATAGCATAAAGGAGGGGGAGAAAGGAAATGATATCAGACAGTAATTCAAATTCACAGGAAGAAATAAAGAATACCAGAAATGGTAAATATGTAGGTGAATATCAAAGTCTCCTATAATTATATATATTTTCCTTTCCCTTAACTTCTTTAAAGGATATAAGATTATATAAAGCAATAATTATAAGACTGTATTGTTGGATTCATAATATGCATAGGCATATTATATACACATATATGACAATAACAACACAAAGGAGGGGAGATGGAATAGAATTATATTACAGGAAACTTTCTATATTTTAATGGAATTAAATTAATATTTACTTTAAGTAGACTTTGATAATTTAAGATGCATATTTGTAATCCCTAGAACAACTACTAAGAAAATAAGTAAAAAAAAAAAAAAAAGGTATTATAGGCCTAAAGTTTAAAGATTGAGATTAGAAAGACTAGTTTTAAACAAATCATATCCACAACATTGAGGCATAGTTTAGTTTTGTTTTACAGTTTCATGGATTCAAGAACATAGGCTTACCTGAGATACACCTGTCATGTGCCAATGAAATCAGAGGCACATTGACTTTTCCTATGTAAATATTTTCCTGGGTATCACTATCATCAAACACATAGAAACTCAGAGACTCTGACTTAAGGTATCGATCCAAATCCATATTCATTGGCACTGGGAAACACATATAATCATCAAACTGTGGATCGTTGCTACTGGGAATGATGGCTGTATCATGGTCTGCAAAGTCAAAAAACTTGTACACAACATAGGGGTGTGGCTGCAGGTGGCTTGCTCGTGACTGCAGGTGGTTGCAACATCTTATTGTAATGTGAAGTTCATTTAAATTGCCATCTGTGGAATCTGTAGAACTGAGCTGAGCAGTTTTGGGTGCTTGCTGACTTAACTGGAAAAACATACATATTTATATTATAGAAATAATACAATGAAAGATAAACCACAGCTGCCAACCCCCAAACAAAATAATTTTGTAAATGGACAAAAGCTGCACATGTTCACTTCATAGTTAGTTTCTCAGTAAAAGAATCTTTGTTTCTTATTTAAAATCAATATTTCCTAGAACATATGTTGCTATTAGCAACAAACATAGAAGACTGAGCATACATGTAGATTGGTGCTAAAAAAAAAACCAAGAAAAAAGTTAATCTGCTGTTCTTTAATTTATTTAATAATTAAAGAGTAAAGTGAGTGATGGGCCCAAAGATGAATGTCCTAACTACAGGACATTAATTTGCCCATCCAGAGTGATGATTTTATAATGTGTGGGTTGGCTCTCATCCTGAACCACTGGGGACTTAGGAAGCAGATACCTGAGGCCAAGATTAGCCAGTATTTCAAAGTCCAACTGCTATAAGAACAAGAGAACCGGATCAGAGATAAACCTTGAAGAGATAAAAACCTAGGATTGGGAGGACACAGACGAGAGATGAGCAAAAGGAGTTATTAGGTAGAGCTGGAAACTACTCTAAGGCCCCTTTTGGAACTATTTCTGAGATGGCCAGCACACAAATATTTTAGAAAACTGCAGTAACTGTTAAATTTTCCATAGCTGATGTGATCTGTGATTTAAAAAAAAATGCTAGTTTCAGTGCCTTTAATGTTGGAGAATTTTCTACCTCCCACAAAGTGATCCCTATGAATTTCTGACTCCGGATTGGCCATCTGAGACTCCTGACTCCAATGGAAGTTTACTGGAGAAGGAAAAATAGAGCTACAATCACGGTCATAATCTCCTCAGTGGAGACATCTGGTGGTGTGGAGAGGGGAAACCTGAGAAGGGAATCACAGTACTGCTTTCCCAGAGCTAGTTTGCACTCAGCTATAGAAGAGTGGAACGATTTAAAAAGTACCTCCTCCACTCCCCCCCACCAATCTACCCACAAAAACTGAATTGCCACCAGTAAATGACTTATTCAAGCCAGAAACTGGGACTCTAAAAACTTTAAAACTACAAAACCAAAGAAATAATTTGGTCTCCTTATTTCTAATTCCTATTTCCATAACAGTATTTCCCAAAGTATGTTGTGAAGAATATTGGCCAAAAACATGATCTCTGGGAAGCAGGTTCCATTCTTTCTTAAGTTCGGGAATTGGTGTTATATTAGTCACAGTTCTTTAAGTGAAAGTTATAGAACCTAATCCATCTAGCAAGAAACAACAAAAAAGGGACTTTAATATAAGGTAATAGGGATATTTCTTGGGACTGTACATCAGAAATGTGGTTGGGCCTTAGGAAAGTAGTGGGACTAGAAAACCACCAGAATTTACTCTCCATCTCGTCTCCATTTTTCTCTGTGTGACTTGCTCATTGTTCTCTCTCTTCAGACTCACTTTCTTTCCTTTGCTAGTTAATATGGTAGAGAATGGCTGTGCCTAGCTCCCAATTTCACAAGTTCTAGGCAAAATAGTCTTGCTTTCTCTTCATCTCAGAAGGCAGAAGCTGACTAGCCCAGTTGACATCACGTGAATATTCCTAAATCATTAGTTATAATTGGGTGAGGACTGGGAGAAAATAAGATCACCTAACATAAACCTGGCCACTTGGGGGCCTGACCCCATGGATTGGTGGTGGGAATAGTTCCAAGAGAAAAAAGGTAAGATGATTATGACTTGAGGAGACCTTCTAAAATCTGGGAATGGCAATATTCTGTCTTTCTGATATTCAACATTAATCGCATACGTTATGCTTCCTGTTGAGATTCACTTTATACATGAGAAGTTCAAAGGTGGAGAATCCTATTTAACTTTGTTCAATTCAGTGCTTTCTGCATTTACTGGATCACAGAATTCATTTGGAAATATGGTCATTAAGACTCCATGAAACATAGTTTGGGAAATGTTGCCCCGAGGAATTGCACTTAAACTCCCAGTTCTCAGCAAAAGAGTATTCATTTTGTATACTATTTTGCATTTCAGAAAACTAACACGAAGAAATAGTTTGGAAAAAGGACAATAACCGATAATCCAATAATTGCTATTTATTTCCTTAACAGTAGAAATTGTTAAATAAAAAAAAGTCTTTTGATGTGTGATAACAGTATTGTGATTATATTATTCAAAGGTGCCCTGGGTAGCACAAAGAAGTTCCTGTTGATGGAACAGCTCTGTACCTTAATTGTGGTGGCAGTTACATAAATCTATCTATGTGATAAAACTGCATAGAAGGACTACACAGATGTACACACACAAATGAGAGCATATAAAAACTGATGAAATTTGAATAAGGTATGTAGCCTAGTTAATAGGATTGTACCAAGGTCAATTTCCTGGTTTTGATATTACACTGTAGTTATGTAAGATGTTACAATTGGGAGAAACTGGGTGAAGGGTACTCTGTACTGTGTTTACAACTTCCTGTGAGTCTATGATTATTTCAAAATAAAAAGTTAAAAAAAGCCACTTGATGGCTGTGAAAGAAAATGATTTCAGTTAAAGAATAACATATAAAGAAAATATTATAAAATTTCTATGTCATAAAAGGGCCTTAAGTCAAACAAGCTTACGGATTTCATTTGCTCTGGCCTCTTAAAATTTGATGTTATATATCCCAAGGCCTTTTCCCGTTCTCGATAAAGTCGGATTGCCTGCTCCATGGGAACTCTTAATCGGAACCAGTATTCCACTGTGCCAAAATTTGGGATGTCTCCTTTAGTTCCTACAAATCAATACATAGCCCACGGTTAAAACAGTCCCATAAATTAAAATATGTACCAGTAAAAAATACATCAATGGTATTATGCATTAAAACTATAAATTTTATACTAAGTAAAATAATATGACTTGCACAAATTGTGTGATTGGAAAATAACAGAGATGAAGAAAACATACTTCTGAAGTATGAGTTTCACTGTATGTGAAATATTATTAAAGAACTATGTCAAGCTATGTTTGTGATATTCTAATTTTTACTATTTCAATCCTTCTAAAATATAAAGAAAAATATAAACATTGAATAAAATATTCCACAGATTATTTTTGATGCTATAGTACTTTTTAAAAAAACAATTTGTACTCAATGTAGTCTGACACTTACAATATGAAATCCCAAAATTATTTAAATGTGATATTTCACATTCTAATTCAACTTTCAAGAAATTTTTGGCAACTTCTCATTTCTCTACTATAAAAGTATGGGGAAAAAAGCCATGGCTAGGTCAAATATATACCGTATGCAATATAACTTTGCGTGATGTTTCCCTGCACACCCTCAGTACACCTGTCACCTCAGGCAGTTCTTCTTCCCTCCTCCTCTGTGAAGACTTCCTCTGTAGCTCCCAGGAGATATAAGAACCTAAGCTTCCTTCACAGACTTTGTATGTTCTAATTAGAACACTGACTGCTTTGGCCTGACTGTTCACAAGTCTATTCTCCACCTCACTGTAAGTTTCTTGAGGGAAAGGGCCATAGTTTCTATCAATATAATTATTATTGAAAATAGTACCTCTACTTTCTCCTACTTCTTCTACTTCTTACTTGCTAATGGATTGTTCTCATCACCATACAAACAAGATTTAATATCTGCCTGCTACAGTTTGAATGTCCATCCCCTCCAAAACTCATGCTGAAATTTGCCATTGTAACAGTATTAAGAGGTGGGGCCTTTGACAGGTAATTAGACCATGAGGGCTCCACCTTCATGGGTGGATTTGGTGCCTTCATAAAAGAGTAAATTTGGCCCCTTCTTGTCATGTTATTATGTAGCAAAAAGGCCCTCTTCAGATGCTGGCACTTTGACATTGAACTTCACAGCCTCCAGATCTGTGAGCTGTACATTTACGTTCATTATAAACTACCCAGTCTCAAGTATTCTGTTATAGCAGCATGAAACAGACTAAGAGAGAAATCATCATTAAAAAAAAAGCCCTAAAAGAAGAATATTAATGCATACATCTATTTGCTTCTATATGCATAAAATATCTTTGGAAGAATTTGTAACCTTTGGTGTGGGGACCTGGGGCGGCTGGTGGGCAGGGGACGGAGGTAGACATTTATGCCTTTTTGATTTTTGAGTCATGTGAAAAATTACTTATGAGAGTCAATCACTCAATCGGTAAAATAAAGTCCTACACCAGGCCCTAATTCACCCTCCTTCCTTCTTAAAATGGTTTCTTCCCTTGGCCTCTGGAATACCACATACTCTTGGCTTTCCTCCTACATCACTGGCAACTTCTCAGTTTCCTTTGCTGGCTCTTCCTCCTCTTCCCGAACCCTAAATTTTCAGATTTTCCCTAGGCTCAGTCCTTGGCCATCTTCTCTTCTTCATCTACATTCATTCTCTATGTGACATTATCTAGGCCCACAGCTTAACGCTAATGACCCCCACTTTTATATCTCCATCCTTGACCTTCAGACTTTTGTATCCAACTGCCTACCTGACATCTCCACTTAGATGTCTAATAGGCAGGTCAATCTTAACTTGTTCAAACAGAATTCTTGATTTTCTTTCTATCCCAGTCTCCCCTATCTCAATAAAGAGCATCACCTTTCCTCTAGTTGCTCATGCCAGAAATTCCTGCCTCCTCTCTTTCCTTCATTACCTCACATTCAATTGATAAGCAAGTGCTGAAGGAAGAGTTAATAAAATATATACTGAATATGACCACTGTTTATCACCACTTTCATTACTATCTTAATCCAAGCCACCATCATCTTTACACAGATCAATGCAATAACCTGAGAATGGTCCTATTTTCCCTCTCGTCCCCTACAGACTATTCTTCTGACTGCACTCAGGATAATTTTTCTAAAACCTAAAAAAAATCCAAACTCCTCACTATGACCTACAAGGCTGTATAACATGATTTGGTCCCTGCCTATTGCTTTAATCTCATCTTTGCTCCAGCCACCGGCCTTCTTGCGATTCCTCCAATATCAGGTTTGTTCCTCCCTGAGGTCTTTGTACTTGCTATTTCTTCTGCCTGAAATATTCTTCCCCTGGATCATGGCATGGGTTTTCATTCAGGTTTTTACTAATGTCACCCTCTCAGGTAAGCCCTTATCGGAACTAGCAACCTTCCATCTCAGTCTTGACCCTCTTTATCTGGTTGATTTTTCTTCATATCTGACAAGACATGTATATATGTATGTATGTGTGTATGTATATCTATCTGTCTATCTATCTATCTATCAATCATCTATCTCTTGTTTTATTGCCTGTCTTCCGCTATAGAAGGCAAGCTACACTGTAGAGGATTCATAAAACAAATGTACTTCATAGGGCCTAGTTTTCCAAAGTCTTGCAGTTTCAAATACTGACCTTGTGGAGGACAGGAAATTTTCCTCAGGCTATAAAGTCTCTGGTGTAAGATAAAGACTTGTGGCACAGCAAGGTTGCTGGCTCAAGGACAGACTAGTTACTGATTGAAATGTAAAGATACTGGAAAATTTCTGGAGGGAGAAGGAATGTTTGCTAAGATCAAGCTTTTGTTAATAGGACCACTTAATTGCCTTACTGGAATGTCATCTGACTTGTTTCACTAAAAGTTACCAGCCTATATTGTTAAACTATAACCCCACCTATGTTCTCTTCCTTTAACTCCCTGGTCTGGAAAATAAATGCAGGAAGAGAACCTCAATTTGTGGTTAATTTTCCAAGAAGTGATGCCTCTTGCTTGAGGGTTCCGGGGAAGTTAACTACTTCGGGGCTTCTCACTGCTCAGAAGAGATGGGCTTTGAGTAATCCTTTGCGGCTCGTCACCCAGGGGAAGTGGGTGACAAATCCGTGGGGGGCAAAGCAACACTACACAAGGGCAGGGGCTTTGTCTTTCTAATTTACCACTGACCACTGTATTCCCAGTGCCTAGTAACAGTGATAACACAGGGACTTAAAAAAAAAAAAAAGATGAATGTACTACAATTAATAATTAATCAAATGAGGGTATCAATATGGTAAATACACATCTGAAGTTATAAGTTAAAAAAAATTAATAGTCATTGTACTGACATCATTAATGACATTTAAGATGGTCTAATCAATGGTGGGCAGAGAAGGTTGTCCTTACCCTAAAGGCACCTTTGATGTATAAAAGAAGAAACTAATGTAGAACACCATTTTAATATAGAAATCAAAATAGTGATTAAAACATCCAAGGCTACAAATTGTACTTACCAACCAAACTTGCTGTGCAAAATATTCGACCGCTTTTTTCCAGAATTTCATGAAATCTCAATTGACATGCTGCTATTGTTTGATAATCTGTGCTATAAGCTTGGTGGACCTCAAGCGTGATAGTATTCTTCTGAATATATTGCAAAAATAAGTCATTAACATGAACAAGATATTGAGAAGTGAAGTTATATTCTGGGTGAAGGCCTCGTACTAGGGGGGTTGTCTGTAGTTCAAAATCATAGAAAGCATAAGTACAGAAAGTGACAGGCTCTTTATCTCCAGATGCCTGTAGAACTTCAGAAGAAAAGGTTACTTTGTTGATATGGATCTCAAACAGATTTTCACCTCGTTCTATGTGGATGGTTTCATCAAATTCATCAACAGAGTCATCTGGCATGATTTCTGGTTTAAATTTGTACTGCTTGGTGCCATAGGCAATATCTTTTAATTGGGCTGCAAGAGAAGACAAGCAGTCATGAGATTTTAAAATATTGACATGTGAATATGCAAAATGGCTTTTGAAGTGGTAGGAAGTCTGAGTACTTTTGAATCGTCTCAATCTTAAATTCTATGACCACACCATTTCTCTGTAAATACTTTATTATACAGAAATTTACCATTTATTTTGACATCACTTATTAAACAGCAACAAAATTACAACTTCAGTTGCAATATAGCCTAAGCCAGGGAAAATGAAAGAGAAAAAAGGAAAAAAGGCCTCTGAATGAACAGGTGAACTAACTAACTAGATTCCAACTGCTCCTCTGCCTCTGCTCTACCCATGATCTTCTTCTCTCTTGTAAAGTCAATTTCTCCTTCTACTGGCTCCTTCCCTTTACCTTATTAAGATATATACTTTTCTACCTTTGGGGGTGATGGGGTTTATTAACTTGATTATGGTGATGGTTTCATTGTTTTATACTAGGCCAAAACTCACCAAATTGTACACTTTAAACATGTGCAGTGTAAAGTAAGTCAATTATACTTCTATAAAGCTGTTTTCTTAAAGAATATCTCTTTCTAGATACATGTTCTCTCCCTAATGTTAAACTCAAATTTCTTAATATAGTAATGAAATAATGTGTGTCTCCAACTACTCATTTGTGACTCCTGCAAACTACTTCTGCCGTACATTCTGTGAAACTACTCCAGAAAAGGTCACCTATAACCAATTAGTTGCTAGACTTAATGGAGGTTGGTCCTTGTACTAGTTGATTCCTTTGCTTCACCTGACACTGATGACCACTTTCCCTTCTGTGAACTTCTGTCCTACGGTGGCTTCCAAGTCATCGTCTCCCCTGCTTCTGCTCCTACTTCTCTTCTCATTCCGTAGAGGTTTCGCTTTCTCTGTTTGCTGGGGATCTGTTTTTAATTCTCAGTCTATGTATTCTCATGGATGATCTCATCCACTTTTATGACTTTTGCTAATATCAATATGCTGAAGGCTTCCATATTTCTATTTTTAATTCAAATTTCCTTCCTGAATTCCAGATCCATTTTTTTTTATTATTTATTTATTTATTTATTTATTTTGTCAATATACACTGTATATGATTATTATGGCCCATCACAGACACCTCCCTCCCTCCTCCCTCTCTCCCCTCCCCCCCAAGAATGTCCTTTCCGTTTGCTTGTTGTAACAACTTCATGGAAGTATAGTTGTTATATCTTCTTCCCCACCCCACACCCCCGGTTTTTTTTGTTTTTGTGTGTGTGTGTGTG